CAGGGATTTAGCTCAGTGGCATAGTGCCTGCCTGGCAAGTGCGGGGCCCTGAGTTCCATTCCTGGTGCAAATAAATAAATAAATAAAAGCCAGTCACAAAAGATGACCAATTAAATGATTGCATTTAATGAAATGTCTACAAGAGATGAATCTGTACAGACAGAAAGTAGATTTTTCATTTGTCCAGAGCTGAGGGTGGGGGTTGGAAGAAAATGGGGAGTAACTGCTGACAGGAACAGGTTTCTTCTTGGAATGATTAAAATATCAAAGCTGATGGACAATGAAAATATTAAAAACTATCTAAACACACAATTTAATTTGGTGAAATATATATGCATCTTGTATTCATAAAGGCATTGTAAATTAAAAGCACATGTATGTCCACAGACACAAAGAGAATGTCCACACACATTGTTCTTGTGCTCAATGCATTGGGCCATATGCAGTAAGTTCAGATAGGTGACCCTAAATACGAAGAGTTAATAAAGAGTCCCCACAAAACTTAGAGCATTATTTTGGGCCCAGTTTGATAGGTGAAGAAACAGAGCTCTACAAAAATGTAGATCATGTAGCTTCTACAAGACAGGAGCCACATTCCAACATAGGACGTTAATAGAGTCGGGACCTTTCTGTTACAAGACTATTCTGGCAGGAACAGGCCTCTGCTCTGAGATGAAGCAGGGTAGAGAACGTCCATTGCTGCGAAGTTTTCCAGGAGACTGCTCTCTCTTGCTAGTGCCAACTCCTCCCTGCTCAGCAGAAAGCCCTCATCGTTTGGGTGCCTACCATCTGTTTAATAGTCATTGTAGAAGTCTTGGTTTCTGCTATTTCTAGAGCAAAATTCAGGAGAAAGCAGTCTCTTTGCAAATAGTCAGCAGAAGCCTTTTTCCCTTTGGGGAAGTCATGAAGTGATGTCTGTCTACCAGTGTGAATATTCAGCCATTGTAGTCAGGGTTTCAGGGGGAATAGCTTTAATACAGGACACACTTTATAGAATTATTTTATACTATTTGCCCAAAAAGTTAAATGCAGAAAAGTACAGGAGATCTGTCCACGCACTAGAGACCCAAAGAATCCAACTGAGGACCTGGAATCCACCACAATGTCCTGCATGAGTCCAGCTGAAGACCTAGAGCCAATGGCAATATCTTTCGTGAGTCCATCTGGAGGCCTACAGCCCACAATAATGTCTCATGTGAGTCTGTACCAAGGATCTGCACTGGGAAGGGCCAAAAGTCAGTGGTGGAAGCTAGAAAGTCTGCGCCACTGGGGTGAAGGCTCTGTGCCAGCAGGCTGAGGGATCTGCTCTGGAGCTAGAAAGCTACACTCAAAGTAAGGAGCAGTGCTCCCCTGAAAAGAACTGCGGCCATTTTCAGCAACAGCAAGGTCCCAAGCTCCTCCAATGATGAGAACAGCTGAGTTCATATCAGGAAAACCAGTGTGACAAGCCTCCCCAGGAGGATCAACAGCACATCCTCTTCCCTTCCAGTTCTCTTTTTATTCTGTTGGCAACAATCCTCAGGTGCGCCCTCCACACCCAGCACACCCACCATGCTGATTCAGTTCAGCTGCGTGTTACAAGTTGACCATAAGATAATTCACATCAGCCAAGAATGATCAGAGAGAAAGCTTTGTGACACTGGTCCTGATCTCAGAGCTACTTCCCAAAACCCATAAGAACATCAGTCATAGTAAGCTATTTTTGAATGCTTAGGATGTTAATAGCTCTTCAGTTTAAGCCTGATACAACAGATTTCTACAACAGACTTCTGTTCTTCAGAAGACATTTCTGTGCTTTCACAGAAGTTCAGGGTTTGTTTAACTATCACCTCTGTCTGATTATCAAATAAACACAGGGATCTAAATCTTTGCATTGTAGACTGTTTCTGTGAGCTATTCCTAGATGTGGAATAATCCTGAGTCAAAGGATATGAACATTTTTTAAGGCTTTTGATCCATACTGACAAATTGCTTTGCAGAAAGATTGAACCAATTTACACTCCCACCAGAAGTGTATGAGAATATATTTAAATGCAAATGCAAAACTGCAGAACATCTTTTTCTTAGGTATTTCACTTAAAAAAATTTTTTTAATACTACGCAAAAGCTGACCCAGGATGTTAAAAAAAGAAAGTCTGGTGTAAAAGTGAAGCAGATATTAAAACAGCGCTTAGGCAGAAATAAGCTTTAAGAAAGGCCTAAAAAGTTTGACAAAATTTTAAGGCATCACGGCAAGAAGCACAATTCTATTTCTTTTTTTTTTTTATTTAAGAGTAGGAAAACTTTATTGGGAGTGATAGCTACTGAGACAGGAGGGGGCCCAAACATGAGTTGCTAATGAGCCCACTTCTCAAAGGAAGTTTTATAGAGTAAAATCATGAGGTGAGTACAATATCACGAGGTGGGTAAAATGTAAGACAAAACTATGATCCACCAATACAATTACAGGTATAGCCGCTTAGGTAATTTTAATCCAGTGTGGAAGCAAGTCACATCGCAAGTATACATGGAAAGAACAAGGGACTTTTTTGGGAAGAATAGTCAGGAGGTCCTGGTCATCCCTGTGGGTGACTGATGTCTATCTGGACTTGATTGGACCAGGTGATATTAATTATAGTATATTGTTTATCCCTTGGGGAGGCATGTAGGTCTAGTCATTCCATCTTTACCTTGAGGTCTGACCTTCAACGAATGCACCTCCAGCCATAGTTGTAATGTGTTCTGTTCTGCACTGACTCCTTTGAGGGCCCTAGCCCTGTCTAACTGCCTATAATATTTCTACATAATTTAGCTGTCTATAACATTCTCCCCTGAAGAGGTACCCCTAACGGTCAAGAAGGGCAAGAGGCAATGACCATTCTGGCTACCTCCAGCTGAAGCAATTGTAGTTGTAATCAGCAGTCAGATACTCCACAGAGGATCTATCTAAAGGCTCTTGATAGGTGCCAGGCATTCTCATCTTGGGTAGGAGTATAGCTTTAAGTCTGGAGGAGACAAGGCCAAAGCAATAGTTAAGTATGCATAGGCCAAGTAATAAGATCAACAAGACTACTATGAATACAGCCAACAAATGTTTGCACTAGGAAGAGCCAGTAATAGCCTCCCACAAAGAGGGTAAGGGGAAGGTCTAACGAATTTCAGAATCCCACATGGCATTAACCGCCGCTTAATATCTTGAACAGCCATCAAGATATTAGCAGAAAGATCAGGAATGCACACACATTCAGCTTTTACAATCATACAAGTACCCCCTCATGCTGCTGTTAGAATGTCTAATGCCATCTGATTTTGGAGGAAAGCTAGTCTCATTGATTTTACTTCATTTAGGAGAGAGAGACCAGTCAAGGTGTCACTTAAGGTCTGTTGAATATAGTTAGTCGAGGCGTGAAATGTGTTGTATAACACCCTCTAATCCTAGGGAAGGATAGATAGAAGCCAAATGAATACCAGTGAAACATACTTTTAACCATAGGTGTTGCAGACAGGGTAAGTTTGCAGGTTGGTTGATATGTTTAACATTCCTGCCTTGTAACCATAGAAGTCCCAGGGTGTATCTCCCTATCCACCCATGGGGTAGCCAGGGCCACAAATTGGTTCCACAGGACCAATGAGTGCTATTGAGGGCTTCCCATCTAATTCCAGGGCACTTATGCCAGTCTGTTGCAAAACAGTCTTTGACCTGTGAAGCTATGGTGTGTATACACTGCTGGGGAAGGGGGTGTCCATCCCAAGTATTTAGTAGAGTTAGGTCAATGAGAATAGAAGTGATTTCTTTGTTCCCAACATAAGGGGACCTTTCTACTAAGTTGTCCTATACTTGGGAGTTAACCACATATAATCATCATCAGTATAAATATTGACTTTCTGTCCAAGAAGTACAATTCTAAAGGGACCATTAACAATTTGGCTTAGATTGAGATAGTAACCACCAAAAATGTCACGCATGGTCCATGTACTAAATTCTAGTTTAGAAAAAGGAGGATATTTCACACTTATACTTCACTTTATTCTAAAGATGATTTAAAATATGTAAAGGCAGGATTTGAGATGTAGTATTGTCTGAATAATCAATCCGGTGAAAATGAAAAACCTCTTCCCCCAGTACCAGAGGAGCGCCTATCTCTCCCTCCCCAGGACGCCGCCTCCTTGTAATCTGAGTCCAGCTCGCAACCACAAGATATTATGGGGCACAGTGATTTTGGGGGCGTGGGGATGGGCAGGCAAAAGGAAGCCCAAATTCGGGGTACCGAACCACTGATCTCCAGCCAACTGAAGGGGCGCTGGGACCTTGACGCTCAGCCGACAACGCCCCCCCCTTTATTTAGGAAACTGCCCAGCGCCAGCCTGCGAGTCTTCCATTACTTCCCAGTGCCTCCTCCGATTGCTTCCACCAGAAAGAGCGAACAGCCGAGGAGCCAGAAACTCGACTTCCTCGCTTCCCACTTCTCCTTCTCACTTTTGTTTCTCCTTTACTGATTCCTCTCCCTCCTCTTTCCTTTCTTCTTCTCGTCTCCTTCTTCCCGTCCCTTCTTGCTTTCTTCTCCTCCCCCCACCCCCGACGGACCCCCTCCACTCCTCCCCCCGGGCTCCTTTTCTCCGCCCCGCCCCTCCTCTGCCCTTGCA